AAGAAACTAAAGGGGAAGGCACCAGCATGAAGCATCTCAGCGGACTTTCGAAGTTGAGGGGGATGGAATGCGAGGAACGAGCCCTCACGGGGCCGTATCAAACATCACATGTTCTGGGCAGAGCCCCCCAGCAAGACGAGTGCCCGCCCTAAGTGAAGGCGGGCCTGAATATTCATGAGGCCAAAATTCGACATTTTCATATGTGGGTGTTCAGGCTCTTGCAGCACGCCAGTTGGTTGAATGGATGCGTGAGCCTCACTAAGCTGTGTCGTACAGTTGGCCCAGGCCTTGGCAGTTGCCCCTGGGCACATATACACACAGCAGGCCCGATACATCATGAACCGGCCACCGACCTAAGCAAAAGCAGTACCCTCGACTCACCTACCCCGGGGTCCTACACAAATGCAGCAAACGGCCCAAGTCCGGAGACTCAGGCCGTGCCCAACTGTAAAGGGCCCAGACCCTCAACTGTAGTCTCGAGCCTGGGCACAGGGACTGGGGCCCAACCGGAAGCTACTGGAAGCTTCCAGCCAGGCCACACACAGCATCCAGGAGGCTGCCACTTCCATATAGGAAGTAAGGCAGCCCAGGCCGATATTCTGGCCTGCGCAGGCAATGCGGACACGCTGCTGTGCTGCTGCATTGGATGGTGAAGTGGGGCGCTGCAGGGCAACGGGGTGCAGGCAGCCAGAGCCGGGCTGCTGGGCGCCAGGGGGTAAGAGGGCGATCTGGTGGTCTTCAAGGAAGGAGGCGCGTGTGGGCCCTGTGGGGTATCAAGGTCTGAAGTGGGTGACGAGATACGTACTTGGTACATGAAGAGGGGTCGGCTATGGTGTTGACATTATGTAAATTGGTCTTAGAGAGTCGAAGTGAGCCTGTTGCGTGAACACAGCTGTAGGTAGAATAGTCGAGTACAGTAGGCTGGGCGCTGGGCGCCAGACGGAGAGGAGCAACTTTGGATACTTTGTTGGTGTGGCCTGAGGGCTTGAACACTGGCTCATTACTTCATTGTATTGCTCTATTTGGATGGATTCTCGGTGCAATTATGCTCTCTGCTTGTACACGACTACTTGGACATCTGTGTCATTTCACAACTTTTTTTTTTTCTGTATATCATTCACACTCATATTCCTTGGACTTTCATCAACTTACATTGGGAGGCCTCCCATTTTCTTCTTCTTTTTTTTTTCTTTTCTTTTTTTGTGTGTGTGTGTGGGTTGTCATATTCGCTATACACTAAAAAAAAGCATGACTGTGCCAGACTGTTTCGCCGGACTTTCACCGACTCATCAGCAGGTTGAACCCTGGCAGTCTGCCCAGGATTCATTTGACTGATGGATAAGGACTCGCAGAGTGTGTGTCTGTGTTGTTTCAAAAGACCCCAGATTCTCTGTCTCATTCCCTTCATAAGTCATCACAACTCATCCATGGCAAACAAGCATAGATGGGCAATATAATAGAAAATGCAAGGTTGGCCACGTTTGTTTGGTTCAGCGTCAAGTGCCCACACACCCGTCTGCCGCCAAAGCGGCACACTTGCACATATACATGTGTAAATAAATATTTCAAACCATAAGGGGATGGAGGGCAGAAGATAACTTACCTAAGGCAGAAGACTACTCCAGCAAGAAGGCACCAACCCGACCCCCTCAAAGGTCCGAAAAAACTTGGAGAGCCTTCCGCATCGGCCCACAAAACCAAAAGCTCATTTATC